GTTTTCTGTCTCAAAACAGAAGAGAACGGAGCAGTACCAAACCCAATCGAGGGAGAAGCGCATAACTTACGTAAAAATGATCAAGAGACGATCTCGTCACGTGACTATAAAGTATCAGCTTCAAACACAGTGAAGGGTCTCAGAGATCGTCCTCCATCTTCTTACTCTCTTAAGATGGAGTCGTTTAACACGCTCCTTAAGTCAAAGAACGCAGATAAATATGTATCACGTCCTTTCTCGGCCGCTGGCTATAAGTGGTACTTTGATAATTTGATTATTTATTCACTTAAACTGAATAGTATTATACTAATTAATCTCAAAAACAAACAGGACACTTGTTGTGTACCCGAATGGGAACAAGAATGATAATGGTGCAGGGTTCCTTTCGCTTTACGTAGCCATAGACAACTCAACTCTCTCGCCACACCAAGAGGTTTACGTGGACCTCAGGTTCTACGTCTTCAACAGGGTAGAGAAGAAGTACTTTACGATCCAAGGTCTTTTGCTAATTCTTTAACCGCCCAAGAACATGTGATCTTTTAACCAGAAATGTGGCATTTAAGCAGACCGGGTTCTGGACCAAAATGAAACACTGGCTTTGCACCCCAAATTATTAAAAAAAAATTTATAACTATATATACTATTAAATTATTAAAAACGTGATTAAACATTCTTACTAAATTGTGGTTTCTAAAATCTCAAAACTGGCCATGTATATGTCAGATACTGATGGATGGAGGTTTAGTTACTTCAAAACGATGTGGGGGTTCTCTCAGGTTCTTCCTGTTAATACATTTGAAGACTCGAACAACGGATACCTCTACGATGGAGATCACTGCGAGTTTGGTGTTGATGTGACCACTCCCACTGTCTTTAAAGAATCAGAACTTTTCACTGTTACTAATAAGTTTTATAACGCGGAATACACATGGACTATTCAGAAGTTCTCCACCTTGCTCAAAGATATTTACTACTCTGATGTGTTCTCCATCGGAGGAAGAAGATGGTGAGTCCATTTTATCGCAAAACTAAAGCTCTTTTTGCTTTAGTTAGAGTATATATATAGTGCATGTGTCGTGACAAATATTCCATATGTTGATCAGGAATTTACAAGTGTATCCAGGTGGTACTGCCACGGGAAAGGGAAAAGCTGTGTCCATATTCCTGATCCTTAATGCGAACGAGAAATTCAGACCCTATGAGAAAATATATGTCGGAGCCAAGCTTCGAGTTCTTAACCAACGCAACTTAAATAACATCGAAAAGCAAAGTAAGCAGATGATATGTAAAAATCTACACATATTTATGACTATGAAACAATACATTAGGGATGAGTAATGAGTGCTTTCTCGTGATCGTCTTCTCTTTTGTTTTTTTTTGGCAGTTGATAATTGGTACAATGGTCCGGGATATGGAGATGGATCTGGTTGGGGTTATTATGAATTTATTTCATTCTCTGATCTCAAAGATTCATCAAAGGGTTTCCTTGTCAATGATGTGTTGAAGATTCAAGTTGAAATTGAAGCCATTTCTTCAACCAAGTACTTCCCTAGTTAGATTTTCTCTAACCTTGGATGGAACTTGGACCTCCATGTGTGTTTCCTTTGTTATCAACTACCTAAAATATTTCGTTTCAATAAATAAAAGTTTGTATTGTTATGCATATATCAAAACATCATATCTCCTCTGAAGAAGTGCCAATAATTTTAAAAAGAACTCGATTGCTTTTTAAATATTTCTCGTGTCATTGCAAAGATCATGTAATACTAAAAGCCCTTTCTCAAAAAAATAAATCGTGTAATATTATATAAGGGAAAATGGTGACAACAAGAACTCGAATTTGATTCGACAAAATCTGAATGATTTGTTAAGTAGGGAATCAAATAGTAATATCTAAAAGCTTATCTGTATAAAAATCTATTTAATGTAACGTGAGAGAGACGCTTTGGATTTGCCATTGCAAACTAGGTCATTATATTTTACCCAAAAAAGCTAGGTCACTGTATAAAATTTTGACTGTCATTAATTAAGTAAGGAATCAAATAATCAATTTATTTGTATATTTTGGCATATTTGAAAATACACGAAAGTAAAAATTTTAGCAATTTAAATATGATCCTAGGAATATTTTCAAGTTGATAGAGACAAAACTAGCAGTACTTTGAACTGAGGCTCTATTCACAATTACTCATAGGATAGGTCATTCTAGAGCAGAAGTAGAGTCAACATTACCTTCCGTACTAGGGAGAGAGTGTTTTACAGATGAATATTTGAAAGAGTATGAAAGTTACTCAAGATATGGATGATATAGTACTATGCATGGGAGCAAGGAATATTAGAACCAATCTTTCTTCTCTCCATTCAGAGTTAGAGGCAACAATCTGGGTAACAGAATGTCTGAGAAACTTAATGCAGTTTCATGTAACTCTTACAGTGGATTGTTCTTAATTAGTGAAGATGGTTTTCGAATCAGATGAATGATCATCCTTTGTAAGTTACCTTCAAGTTATCAAAATTTTCAAGAAAAGTTTCAACCTTTCAGAGCTCATCCATATTCCCAGAACACAGAATACTAAAACAGACAATCTTGCACGCAGTCTAAAGAAGCAACCCTTGTTTATCGTTAATATAGATGCAGAACTACCAGTTTAGTTTACAAAATTTTCATGATTTTGTTGTATATTGATGACAAAAGAAATCACTATGGTCCTGTGAGTAAGAGATTTTCCTTTACTATTAAACACATACAGTAGAATCTCTATAAATTAATACTCGATAAATTAATAATCTCTATAAACTAATAAATTTTCCCGGTCCCGAGTTGGGCCGGTTCAAAATATGACATAAATTAATAAAATAATAAGATAATGACTTTTTAGAAACTCCTATGTAAATATATGGTCCCAATAAAATCATAAATTATTAATATATCTACATATACATTTTATTATAAGTATTACCTAAACTATATTGTTGATTTTATATTCACAATGAAAATTCATGTATTCTTTCTTAACATTTCAATATATTTTGATAATATTTAGTAAACTTATATCAAAAAACCACATATAAATTATATGAAACATAATAATATAAACTAAGTAATTTAATAAAATAATAAGAAAGTCAAATTTCTAAAATTTTATGAATATATATACCATAAAATTAAATATAATTTTATTTTATAAATAAAAATATTTTAAAAAGATAAAAATCTAAATTAGGAAAATTTTTGTAAAATAATATCTCTATAAATTAATAAAATTTTAAAGTCCCAACATTATTAATTTATAGAGGTTTTACTGTATCTTTGTTTTTCATTTACATTTTTAGTAACTGTTTTGTTGAATTTATAGGAATATTTTAAGTTTACCTTATTTGTTGTACCATAATGTATGTTTTACCTTCTTCTTTAAGAGACGTTTTTTTCACAAATATCTTCTTTATTATCTCTAAATTTTATTTTTTCATATTCATGTGGAATATTCTTATGATTTTATTATAAATGCTTTTGTTTTGTTTTACATATTAAAATATGTTTATCTATTTTCATTATGGCTAAATATGTTTTATATTATATTTTTAAACATACATGTTATTTTAATATAAATGTTTATACGGTTCATTAGTTTTTTCTATCATTTTATAAAATTTAATTTACATATTTAATTGCAATTAAATTTAAAATATATAAAAAGTTAAATTAAATTAGTTAAATATTTTAAAAATGAGAAAGTCATTTTAGGAGGGTTGGTGGGAGAAGCATTTAGGTAGAGTTGGTTGGTTTTAAGAATCAAGAGGATATATGTAATACTTTGAAACTTTTGTTTTCTTAGTTAAAATGTTAGTAATTCAAGTTCCAATAACACTAATTTTGATCGAACTATTAAATTACTAAAACCTAATTTTTTTAAATAACAATGAATTATATATGTTATTAAAGAATAATGACCTTTAATAAAAATGTTAGAATCCATTATTCAATAACTATAGAAACTAAAAATTGTAACGATCATTGTAAATATAATTCTCACTAACATCCTCTTAATGTAAAGTAACTATAGAATCCATTATTCGATAACTATAGAATCGAAAGATATGTGTTTTACGAACCAAGACAGTAAAGCCTGTGAAACCCATGAAAATCCCCCAAGAACAAAATGAAAGATTTGAAGAACAAGTTAATTTCAAAATATTCTTAGCTTATTTACATTAAGTATTTAGAAAAAATTAACATTATCTAGTATTAACATTATGTTAATTGCATATATATGCATCTTGTATATATTCTCTTATCAATCATAACACAATAATATATTATATTCTATTCTATTTTACAGTAACCACCTTATCATGACAAACACGAGGCAACAAAAACAACAGCTAGGTACTAAAATAAATAATCTAACCAACAATTACAGTGCCATGCAATAATTTCATGAGTATCTAGAGTCTTCCTTAACTATTCCAAAGTACCTATGAGGCTATGACTAGAGGCGGGCGTGTTACACAAAAAAAAGAACGAGTGCGGACTACGGTCACTTACACCCTTTAGTCTTTAAATATCAATAATTTTCTGTTTTATACATTTATATTGTTAAATGTTAATTCATTTGTTTCAATTGGTATGAGTTAAAAAATTATTACAGTGTTGCATTGTTTTACTAATGAACTATTATTTTCCTTTGCTTCTACCATTTTGAGGTTCATATATCTAATTTATTTTGATTTTTGATCGATTTGAATGCAAATATGCTTATATAAAGCGTGAAGAAATAGTACTTTGGAATTATTCTGTAACAAATAAATGACTTATATGTATCATGCATGAAAACCATATTTTTGTGTTAAAATCTTTTATTAAAAATATATATTGCACGATAAACCTAAAATAATCTAAAAAGGAATTTCTGGACCAGCTACTGTATATCCCTATCTTCTATATAAAGTCCCACTAGTCTATGTTCTCTACGCATCATTACCATTTATAACCTTAAAAGATGAGGAATCAGCACACAAACACAGTTTCTACAGTTATTCTCTTGTTGTTTGTCTTCATCTCATCTGGCTCTTCACGTTCCTTCATACGACAATACACTGATGACTCCTACACAAACTTTCAAAGTATGCAATATCTTTGCAATTAGATGTGATTCAATACTTCTAAATAACATCTTTTTATTGTGTGATTTGAGTGTTTAGACTCTCTGTACTTTTAAATCATTTGTGACACATCCTCTGCTGTGCATATATTTTCTTTTTAAGTACTATGTTTTCTGTCTCAAAACAGAAGAGAATGGAGCAGGACCAGACCCAATTCAGGGAGAAGCGCCTGACTTACGTAAACATGATCAAGAGATCACATCACGTGACTATAAAGTCTCAGCTTCAAACACAGTAAAGGGTCTCAGAGATCGTCCTCCATCTTCTTACTCTCTTAAGATGGAGTCTTTTAACACGCTCCTTAAGTCAACAAACACGGATCGATATGTATCACGTCCTTTCTCGGCCGTTGGCTATAACTGGTACTTCTGATCGTTGTATTCTTTATTCTTCCAAACTTAATATTGTATATACTAAAATACCTTTTGTGGGATCTCAAAAACAAACAGGACCCTTGTTGTGTACCCGAACGGGAACAAGAATGATAATGGTGCAGGGTTCATTTCGCTTTACGCAGCCATAGACAACTCAACTCTCTCTCCACACCAAGAGGTTTACGTTGATCTCAGGTTTTACGTCTTCAACAGGATAGAGAAGAAGTACTTCACGATCCAAGGTCTTTTGCTAATTTTATAACCCTCCCAAGAAAATTTGATATTTTAGCAAGAAAGATGATATTAAGGAGATACAGGTTCTAAACATAGCTAAGTGAAACATTTACTTTACTTTAGGCCTCCCAAAAAAATTAAAATTAATATACATAAAATACAAATTCTTAAATTATTATAAACTTTATAATTTAAATTTTACTCTAAATTGTCTTTTGATCCTGAAAATCTTAGGTCAACCCTGTATTTAAGTCATTTAACAGTCAATGTTTTGTTACTGCAGATACCGATGGATGGAGGTTTAGTTACTTCAAAACGATGTGGGGGTTCTCTCAGGTTCTCCCTGTTAATACATTTAAAGACTCGAACAACGGATACCTCTACGATGGAGATCACTGCGAGTTCGGTGTTGATGTAACCATTCCCACCACCTTTAAAGAATCAGAACTTTTCACTATTACGGACAATTTCCACAACGCGAAGTACACATGGACTATTCAGAAGTTCTCCACCTTGCTCAAAGATACTTACTACTCTGATGTGTTCTCTGTCGGAGGAAGAAGTTGGTGAGTCCACTTTATCTCAAATTAAATTTCTTTTGCTTTAGTTAAAGTATATATGTATATATATAGGGACCCATAAATATATAGTGGTTGTGACAAATATATTCCATATGCTGATCAGGACAATACAAGTCAACCCAAGTGGTAGAGCTACGGGAGCAGGAAAGTTTTTGTCAATGTATCTTGTCCTTAGTGATCAGAACAATAAATTCAGACCCTATGAAAAAATTTATGTTCTAGGCAAGCTTCGAGTTCTTAACCAACGCAACTTCAATAACGTCGAAATGCAATGTAAGTAAACAGATGTTATATATATATATATTTATACGTATTCATCGCTATGGACATATTAGGGATGACTAATGAGAGTTTTAATGTGATATTTTGTTGTTTTGGCAGTGGATTTTTGGTTTAATGGCCCGGGATTTGGAGATGCTTCTGGTTGGGGTTACCATAAATTTATTTCGCTATCTGATCTCAGAGATTCATCAAAGGGTTTCCTTGTGAACGACGTGTTGATGGTTGAAGTTGAAATTGAAGCCATTTCTTCAACCAAGTACTTCCCTTAGTTAGATTTTCTCTAACCATGGATGGAACTTGCAACTCAATGTGTGTTTGCTTTGTTATTACGTATCAACCACCTAATAATAAGTCTATGTCTGCATTTCAAATAAATGAAGTTTTTATTCGCATCCATATATCAAAACATCATCTCTTCTCTTGCAAGTACCGACAATTTTAAAAGAAACTAGAAACATAAAGAAACTTTACTATATGTCTTAAATATTACCTGTGTTCATGGAAAGATCGTGTAAAAAGTATATATATTTATTTATGCAAGAACAATGTGGACAATAGCTCGAATATGATTTACAAAATCTGAATGATTTGTTTTAGTGGGGAATCAAATAATAAACATCTAAACGTGGGAGAGACACTTCGATTTTGCCACTGCAAACGATGTCAAACAAATGTACATAATAACATTATCATGTGAAACTTTCATATTTAATTAGCTTTAGGTTCCCATAGCATCTCGAAGCATCGACCTCTCACTATATATACAAGTGTCCCTAGTCTATGTTCTGCACACTCTATTCACAAGAAAAACCTTAAAAGATGATGAGTCACTACAAAAACACCATCTCTCTTATTTATATCTTGTTTTGTGTCTTCATTACATCTTCCTCCGCAAGTTCCATCATACGACAATTCACAGATGACTTCAACACAAATCTGCAGCGTATGCAATCTCCTTTGCTCTTAGATTTGATCCAGTTTCAAGAAAATACATTCGAGTCATTTAGATCCTGTGTTTGGTTTGTGTACTGAAACATTTTTAAAAGTAACACGTTCTCTATCTTTAAATGGTATGTTTTCTGTCTCAACACAGAGAATGGAGCAGGACCTAACCCAAACGTGAGAGAAGTGCATCACGTACATCAACCTCAAGAGATCTCATCACGTGATCATGAAGTCTCAGTTTCAAGTACGGTGAGTGGTCTAAGAGATCGTCCTCCATCGTCATACTCTCTCAAGATGGAGTCATTCAACAAGCTCCTTAACTCACCCTACACAGAGAGATACCAATCTCGTCCTTTTACAGTTGGTGGATACAACTGGTAATTCCATATTTTACTTCCTCGACAGCCCTCTCTTTATATACAAAGACTTTAGCGACTTGCATCTTAAGAGCATGATTAATGGAGAGTTCTTAAGGTGTGATTTTTAGTGGATATAAGAAATTATTTCTTAACTTTTAACTAAAAAAATTAAGAATCTATTCTGAAATATCTTATTTAAGAACCGTTTCTTAGTTTTTTTAGTTAAAAGTTAAGTGACAATTTCTTATACATAAGAACCTCACCATAAGAACTCTCCATTAATCATCCTCTTATACATAGAACTGGTCCGTGCATAACCAAATGAAACATTAAATTAATATACATAGATCCTGTGACCTCTAACAATGTTAAATTCTATAATAAAAATGTTTATAATCTCTAAAATCTCGGAACTAGCCATGCTTACGTACTACAAATTTTCTGATGGATCTCAAAAATGCAATATGCATACAGGACACTTATGGTGTACCCCAATGGGAACAAGAAGGATAGTGGTTCGGGTTACATTTCTCTTTACGTAGCTATAGACAACTCAACACTCGTCGCTGGACATCAAGATGTTTACGCAGATCTCAGGTTTTACGTCTTCAATAACAACGAGAGGAAGTACTTTACTATCCAAGGTAAATAATGTGAATCTTTCTAACAATAAAGTTGCTTACTAGAAAGTAAATAGATATCAATGTTTTGTTACTGTAGATACTTTGCTATCCAAGGTAAATAATGTAAATATCTTTTAACAATAAAGTTGCTTTACAAATTGTAAATTATAGCTATCATTGTCATTGTTACTGTAGATACCAATGTATGGCGCTTTAATGTCTTCAAAACGATGTGGGGATTCTCTCAAGTTCTCCCTGTTGCTACATTCAAAGATCCGAGAAACGGATACCTATACGATGGAGACCACTGCCAGTTTGGTGTTGATGTGACCATTCCCACTACGTATCAAATATCAGAACTATTCTCTATTGCTGACAACTTCTATAACCCCAAATTCACCTGGACAATTCGAGGGTTCTCTACACTGCTCAAAGATACTTACTACTCAGATACGTTCTCTATTGGAGGGAGAAATTGGTGAGTCTTCTTCACATTATTTGAAAAACAAAAGCTATGTTTTGGATTCTAGAGTAGTTAAACGAGTATTCAATATGATGATCAGGAAGATACAAGTGGATCCAAATGGTCGTGCCACGGCACAAGGAAAAGCCTTGTCCATGTATCTTAACCTTGATGTGAATGAGAAGTTCAGACCCTACGAGAAGATTTATGTTCGAGCCAAGCTTCGAGTTCTTAACCAACGTGGACTCAATAACTTTGAAAAGCAACGTAAGCAAATGAAAGATATATATAATCTTTGTGTATACATACAAATCTATATAATCGTGATAACTAATTAATGGTTTCTTTTTATTATGGGGGCAGTGGATAACTGGTACCAGGGTCCAGCATATGGAGGACAATACAGCTGGGGTTACCATGAGTTTATCTCATTCTCTGATCTCAGAGATTCAGCTAAGGGTTTTGTTGTGAACGATGTGTTGATGGTTCAGGCCGAACTCGAGGACATTTCTTCAACCAAGTACTTACCCAACTAGATTTTCTCTAGCCAAGGAACTTATTGGACCTCCATGTTTTTGGCTTTCTCATCAGTATAATAAGAATCTGTTTTTACGTATCAAATAAAGGAGTGTTTGTTTTGTTGCTCTCATTGAAATATCAACTCATCATAGATCAGTTATTATTCTTATGTAAGCACAATCTAGTCCTTTTTACCTCTAACTGAAAAACGAAATAAATTTTATTCATTTTTACTAGAAAGGAAACAGAGTTATTCATGATCATATCAACTCTGTTTAGTATACTGTCTCATCAAGCATTCAAGGAACTTTTTACCCATATGTTATAACAAATACAGAGAAGTCAATAGAAAATGAGGGTGCTCACAAGGCCATAAGACAATAATTTATTCCTGATTAGTCCTTGGACTCGACCATATCAGTTCCAGCAATCCATTATGACGATGATACGTTTTAGAGGTTACACGCACGTATGAGTTTGATGGTTCTCACATACACGACAAGACTCACCTTTTTAAGAAATTATAAAACAAAACAAACCATGAGTCCACCTCCTAACAAATTGGTTTAACTCTTAACAGATTTTAACCTCCTCTAACCGAGCTGACTTTAAACCGTGACTCCTTTTGACCGGGATTACCACTTAACCAGCTTCTTAAATCACCCCCTTGACCAGCTCCAAGTTGGATCGCAAAATCAAAATACTAGTCACACTTGGCGTGGTTACTGTATATGTCACTTTCTAATCGAAGAGAGATGTTATAATTCTAACTAAAAACCATATACGAACCTCCAAATCATAAAAGGGTTTCTTATCAAATAATGTACTCAATACATATCAAGTCAACAGGAAATCACTTATTCTTCTTGATTATGCCAAGGGGCTTTACGTTTTAGCAACCAACCTAATGGTTAATAATCCGCACTAAAATTAAAAAAAAATACGCTGTGTATGAATTGATAAAGATAATCCCCCAAACAATGGTTTCCTCTTATTTGTTTTGACATCTTCCAAATCAAGAACCCTTCATAGAAGAGGTTGATGCTGTTCTAGAGTACTGCAATACATTCAATCTCGATCTTGGCGTTTAGTGGCAAAGCCGCCACTTGATATGTGGATCTTGCCGGAGGAGCATCTGGGAAGTCTGCACCAGAAAAGAAATAGTTCAAAAATGTTTCACACCAATCTTTAAAACCACTACACAACCAGTAACTATGCATTTTTGAACAAAGTTGGAAAACTTGTTAAACAACTCACATTTGCCGTATATGTCGTTCACTTTCTTGAAGTCAGCCAAGTCAGCAAGCCTGTGACAGATAAAAATAAAAGATATTAATATTTTATGTTTTTTTTTTAGATTCAAAACTCAAATGGATAAATGATATCTGTTGAAACAAAATGTACATGATGGTTGTCTTCACCACGGAGCAGTAACTAGCACCACCAGCTTTCAATATCTCCCCCATGTTCTTCAGTACCTTCCATATTCCAAAAAAAAAAAAATCACAGAAGCAATTAGAAAGAAAACAGAGCAACTCAACCTTGCTATATAAGCTACATTACAAGTTGAATTGGAAGACTAATATTACCAAACCAAGCAGTTCAAAAGTAAAACCTCATAAGTTACAGAGACTAATCTCAGCTTGAGTTAAGCACAATAGTTATATTTTTCATTTTTTCTAAACCCTTAATTTGTCAAACAACATCTATACCAAGTGGGAAAGTACTGTAAACAAAAGCAAGCTTTATATAAACCATGGTACACAGTTTAGAAGCTACTTCACCTGATAAGTCTGATCTTCAACGTCATCCGAAATAAACTCTCCCGTCTACACACACACGTAACAAAAAGAGACTCTAAGAAGCCGAAAGAGAGTATAGTGAATTTAATTTATGCAGGTTTTAAAAAAAACAAAAAAAAAAAACAGAGTGAGTAACAAACCTCAGGTACAAGTCCAAGAACACCAGAAACGAAAATGAAACCGTTGGCTTTGATGGCCTGAGAGTATGGTCCCAAAGCAGGTGGTGCTTTATCTGTAGACACAACTTCCTTCTTACCTGCATTTTTTTTTAAGATTCAACACTATCACACATAGACCTAAGATGCATTGACAAAAAAAAGTCAACGCTTTTGATCAGGGCATTCGTCAACATCAAATTTTTTTAAGGACGTACGAATGATTGGTAAGTGGTTATCATCAGAAGCAGAAGCTGAGACAGAGAGGGAAGCGAAAGATGGAGAGCTCGAAGACATTCTGAAAAGGGAAACACCAGCTAGTGTTGCACCTGCGGCGACCAATGGGGTGCAAGGAGAAGAAGAGCGAAGTGCGGCGGAGAGGTCGAGAGTTGAAGCGTTAATGGATCTGAAGAGGGTCCAAGTCATTTCACTTCTTTCTCTCAGGTGGCGACAAGACGTACAAAAAGGACTCAACGCAAATAGTATAGATTTAGAGAGAGAGAAAGGTAAGTGAAGACGAAGAAGAATGGTGTTATATAATAAGACTTGATGCGATCGGTATTAACGCAGGTGGTTATTGTGTCGTGTCTCTTACTTCTCTTTTGTCTTCTTTCTCGCTGTTCGAAACTTTCTTTTATATATTTCCGAGTTTTCCATTAGCTATGTTATATATATAAAATAGTCTTTTGACCCAGTGGGCCATGAAGCCCATGAGTTTATCCATAATATGTCCATTTTATTCTCTATGTGGAATTGCTTAGGAAAAAAAAAAAATTTCCTCATCCATATGGAAAATGTACAAGTGTGGTTTGCTAAGATGGTCTCCACCATCTTAGGAATATGTACAAGTGTGTTAGGAAAGTCAATTGCCTAAGCAACCACTCCTCTATGCAAATCATTCAGTGTCTGGCTACACATCTCTAGCTTCTTCTTGCTTGTCTTTCTTTCCAGTCGTCATTCACACCAAATAATTTATATGAATTAAGGTTACAAATGTGATGATGAAATTATGTCGTGATTCGGAGATGATTTTGATGAAAATTCATTACCTGTAAGCAAATCGAACAAATCAAAAATGTTTGATGACTTGAACTACTGTACAACGTAGCATGCTGAATAGGGATCACCGATAACCCTTTTGGTTCTTGGTTACATAATAACATAACCATACATTTTCGAAACCTCCGTATAACTTGTGGCCAGTCCTATTGTCCCTAATTTGTTTATTTTTATTGAATTATTTATTTTAGTTTTGTCACAAGTTAACGCATGGCCATGGTCAAGTTTCACAACCAAATTTGTTAATTAAGACGAAATGAAAAATTAGAAAAAAAAAGTGGAGTACTTGCATTGAGATGTTTTGAGCACAGCTGTTCTAACCAATCCCATGATGGCTTTACCATTCACTACTCTCCTCATTAAATATCACTTTCTAACTAAAATCATATGTTCGATTAGCTTTATTGGCTATCTATGGAGTGAATGACAACGCGTTTGATCACCATGTAGCATGAGTCCAAATTTGGACCGTTGTGTCTATAGTGTGTGACCTTCCTTGGCTCCTACAATGGCAGCTACCACAAAACTATAGCTACATAAGCAATAGTGGTAAGTAGTGATATTATAAAATAGTTACGCATAGAAAAGTGGATGAAATCAAGCCATGTGATATGTTAAACAATACATTACAAAACCAAAAGTGTCTTTTGTAAAAGAATTAAGAAATTCAATGCAAGGATAATCCATAAATGATATAACTTATTGAATTCAATTAAGGTAGGCATGAATGCATAGTGGATGTGGCCTTATCACACACATTTTGGACCTCGCCAGCTTATATACACTATGAATAAATGAGTTTAATGTATTGTCTTGTAGGGCAGCTAGGATGGTGAGCCGTCCCATTACAAGCTCATATCAATTAACCCATCTAGAATTGAATATGATTGCTTGAGAGACTAAAATGAATCAAAAACCATCCTTTAATAGATAGTTCTACGATATATAATTTGATAATAGACATTTTTTATTTGACAAGGTAGTGGAAAACTTAGTAGCGGAAAACTAATGGGAATCAATTATATAACATTGATGGTTTAAGGTTCTTAAGACTAATAATTTATCAGCAGAGTCCATCCACTAAAACTATATCCTGTATTTTTTTTATAACCCTTCCAATTTCTTATTTTGAACCCAAAAAGAATATTCTAACTTTTCTTTTAAGCCAAAAATTAGATTTTGATCCGTGATTTCAAAACGGGGGTTATCTTTTTGTTTACAAAAATATATATTAAAATCATAATTTTATACAGAATTCATGTGTTTTAAAGTTCTGTACACAATTTATATTTAATTTGTGTATATGATTTATTTTTATGTTAGTAACTTATGTTTCACATATAACGTTTATTTTTTTAAATAATTTTTAAAAATTTAGTTTGATATAATTACATGAGAATGAGAAATAATCATATATCATGTTAGTTAAAATTTGTTTAGTATTCTTATAATACTTTTAAGGGTTCATATGTTTACTCAACCTATCTCATACTTAATAACTGTTTTAAATATTTTGATAAAATCATTTGTAGAAATTACACATAAAATATTAACCATAACCAGATATTTAAAATTTAGAATATTTTTCGGATGCAAATCCTATCAAAGTTTAAAATACAAAAATTGGTACTATTTGAGGCCAATAGAAAACACCATTTCTAGGTAGGTGAAAATTTGATCTAATAAATTTCATTTGAAGTTCAAATGTTAATATTTAAGCTTTGAAAAATTTAAGTTGCGTTTATTTTGAATGTGTAAATTTTGACCTAATAAGATCACAAAGCGGTTTATATATTTTAAATTAAAATAAGTTTTACAATAGGCAATTGAGAATTTTGAACATATTCCATATGTAGTTCTAAAAATCATAAACATACTAAATACAGTATATGATATATCAAGTATAATAATATTGTATAAAGGTGATCTGTATCAAAGTACAAATATATATAGTTTTAATTAACACATCATAATTTTAGAATTGTGTAAAAATGCATCTACGAACCTAAATGTATTGAACTAAAGCTTCCTAGAGCTTAATACATTAATATTTTGACAAAATATTTCTAAGTCATAACTATATAACAAAAATATTCTGTTGATTGATACTTATGAATAATTGGAGAATATTCTGCATTTAAGTAGGTTATATATTTTGTTATTTCTTTAAATAAATTGATTTTATAACGGAAATAAGTAGTGGCATGACATTGTAAGTTTTTTCAAAAAATTAAGGACAAAATCTTAATAAGAATTCTACTTAATAGAGATTGATCTCTATAATATTATTTGAGAAGTCACTTTCTTAGGTGTCGCGCTCATGTTAACTCTCACGCTGGTTGATTACTATGATGCCCCTAATGAATTAAAAAATACAATTAAATATTATTTATTTTTTTTAAATTTCCAAATGATAATATAAAATAAAAAGGAAATATTTATAAAATTTAAAAAACTATTTAAAAACGAAAATATAAGTATATATAATATGGTTTATTAAAAAAAGAAATTTCACAAAATAGTAATATTTAATTTAAATATATCTCTATAATATTATTTGAGAAGTCAGTTTCCTACGTGTCGCGCTCACGTTAACTCTCACGATGGTTAATTACATAGATACTCTTAATAAACAAAAATATTAAATAAGATTGATATTAATAATGTATTTCCTTTTCTCATAATAAGATTTTACTTAATTTTATAATTTATATTTACTTTTTAAACACACATATACAAAAAAAAAGAAATATTTCTGAAATAAAAATGTTTATATATAAACGAAATTAAATATTTTTTTCGAAATTTTCATAAAACAACATTTTTAGTGTTTATTTAAGAGATATTAAAAAATAAAATATTTTTTAACACAAATAAATATTTTGATCAAATAATTTCAAATTTTTTTAAATAGCGTAGCACTATACACTATTAATAAAAGGAAAATATAATATTTTATCATTATTAAAAATTCTTTTCAATATATAGTTTGTTTATGGAACTTAATAGATAAATAATCAAAATACTCAAGTAAATCTAAGTTCTCATTTTTAACATTGTTTAAAAAAAATCAATTTACCTTTTAAGAAATCTAAGGTATAAAATAATTTAGAATTTATAAATATTTAATTATTGTAAATATTAATATGTTCTCATGAAATTTCAAATGTTTATCTTTATACTCATATTTATGATTGTAAGTTCTTATTGATCGTCACTTTATTTTTAATATATCTTAAAAATCAACATATGTCCAATTATTAAAAATCATATAAATACTTGCATTAAGCGGTAAATAAAACTATTTTGATTTAATTTAATTAGAAAAATATATATAACTCAATATACTCACAAAACGAGTAATGGAACGAATCTAACTTATATCAAAAATAAAAGATCTAACTACAACAATAACATATAATAATAGAATAATTATTTATTTATTTTTATACATATAGATTACGGGATGACTCAAAAATATCAATATAGAAAAAAAAAATTATTAACCAACTGTTATAATTCAGTTTTTTGTAAAATTTATATATATATGAATGAGATTTCAGAATATTATCGTTATATTCATTTATATAATTTTGTGTCAAAATTTCAGTTTATTTTAAATTTCATTATAAGCATAATATATATTAAGTTATACATAATCTTATTAAAATATATTTACATATATAAGACGATAACCAATCTAAATACAATAATAATTAAAGTTTTAGTATATTTAGAAGAAAAATATTATAGTTGAATTCAGAAAAATAGATGCAATCTAAAATACACAAGTGTAACCAAATCGAATATTGACAAAAAAAAAGCAACCTAACCGATTAAATATAACATCTACTAAATAATATGTCTAATTAAAATAATCTAATATTATTAATATAAGTTATACATATAAATTATAAATTAATTTATAATTAAAAGTAAATATCTATGTAAATTAATAAATTAGAATATACTACAATATATTTACTTGATAAATATTCATATCCGTGCATGAGCACGGGAAAATCACCTAGTTATAAATAATTGAAAAGTTTATTATTAAAATATTTTAATAGCATATTGTTGTAAATACTTTAATTTTCAAGGTCACCTCAAAAAAGACCCTTCAGTTTTAATAGTTTTGATAAATCTATAAGTCATATAGTATATCCTAAAATATATAGCCAAGTATATATATTTTTTTAACCAAGTAGATTTGGTCATCACATATCCATTATTCAATTAATAAACCAGTCGACTAATTGGTTTAACCAATTATACAATACTCCCTCCGTTTCAATTTAATTGTCACTCTAGAGTTTTGCACACAGATTAAGAAAACAATTAATTTTACATATTTTCAAAATAAAAACACAATTACCTATACACCTAACCACTTTTCAACCAATAAAAAAATAGAATAACATTTAACATCAATAAATTTTTCATTAAAATTATAAAACGACACTTATTTTGAAACGAAAATTTTACTCTAGAATGACATATAATTTGAAACGGAGGATATAATTTGAAACGGAGGGAGTATGTTTTTGCAAAGGTAATTTAACAATATTAAGAAATTAAAAGTGAAAATAAATCTCCATGATTTTCTGAACATTAATCTCTTCTACATACAAGTTTTTTTTTTTTTTGTAGAATTGCAGTATTTGAAACAGTCAAATTAAATAAAACCAGCAATAAACACCAAGTCAAAGATGTTACACACTGCACTACCATACAAAAACAAAACAACAAGAGCTTCAAAACGTCTTCAAATGTTCTCACCGGAAGAAAAAACTGCCAAATCCAAAACATCAATTCTGTTTCTTTGTCATCCACCCAAAGCTGAACATAGACAGATACCTTTCAGACACAATATCTAAGAAGAAAAAAACATTTATAACATTTGTCTTAATCCGACCAGCAGAGGAACAATTCAAACTAATACCACATGAGAAGAAAAAAAAACGAAACAAAACAAATTAAAGAAAGAGGTTTGACTCGGTGTCGATAATAGACTCTTTTACTTTTCAACTCTTCTCTTTACAAACAACATAAAAGTGATAAACCAACCACCACTATGCTCTTCAATATATTCATGCTTCTCATGTTTTATTCTCCAATATAATTCAACTCTCTGATTTTTAAAATAATCATCAAATCCAAATCCATCTGGCGAACATTATTTCGCTTGATGAATGAATTAACGTAAATATTATCTAAAAAAAAAGCGTTGCTGAAGTGATGCTTCCACGTCTTCAAAAAAAAAAAAAAAGAATCTCTCTTTTTAAAACTCTTTCTTCCTCATCCTCTAAAAAGCTTTGATCTTTCCTCTCTGGGTCCTCCCAATTTGAGCTAACTTACCCAAAGCTTCGATCTTTTCTTCCTGGGTCGTCGTGATCTGACCTAACTCAGCCAAAGTCGCGATCTTTCTTCTCTGGGTCGTCGCCGGAGATCATGGGCAACTGTTTCGCCAAGAACTATGGATTAGTGAAGCCTCAGCAAAACGGTCAGACCAGATCAGTTGAAGATCCGCCGTCGTATACTCCACAGACGAGAACCCAAACGCCGGAGAAACCACCCTCCGGGACCAACCAACCGCCGCCGTGGAGAACGGCGTCAGCGCCAAGCCCCAAAGCGTCAAAGAGCAACAACTCGATTCTAGAGAACGCCTACGAAGACGTGAAGCTCTTCTACACGCTGGGGAAGGAGCTAGGGAGAGGGCAGTTCGGTGTCACGTATCTCTGCACGGAGAACTCCACAGGGAAGAAGTACGCTTGCAAGTCCATCTCCAAGAAGAAGCTGGTGACGAAAGCTGATAAGGATGATATGAGGAGAGAGATTCAGATCATGCAGCATTTGAGTGGGCAGCCTAATATTGTGGAGTTTAAAGGGGCTTATGAGGATGAGAAGGCGGTGAATCTGGTGATGGAGCTTTGTGCTGGTGGTGAGTTGTTTGATAGGATTATTGCAAAGGGGCATTATAGTGAGAGAGCGGCTGCTTCTGTGTGTAGACAGATTGTGAATGTTGTCAAGATTTGTCATTTCATGGGTGTGTTGCATAGAGACTTGAAGCCTGAGAATTTCTTGCTTTCTAGTAAAGATGATAAGGCTTTGATTAAGGCTACTGATTTTGGCTTGTCTGTCTTCATTGAAGAGGGTAAAATTAAAACATATATTTTGTTTTGTTTGTTTATTGATATTTCTTACTGCTTATCATTTGATTGTTTGTATTTATCTACAGGGAAAGTGTATAGAGATATTGTTGGGAGTGCATACTATGTAGCTCCTGAAGTGTTACGTCGTAGATATGGGAAAGAAGTTGATATATGGAGTGCTGGAATCATATTGTACATTCTACTCAGTGGTGTACCTCCTTTTTGGGCTGGTAATGCTATTTTTTTCTCTCTAGTGCACTTTGTTTTTTTGATTCATATGATGCATAGAGGAGCTGACAGATAATTATGGATATGTAGAAACCGAGAAAGGGATATTTGATGCTATATTGGAAGGTCATATCGACTTTGAAAGCCAACCATGGCCATCAATCTCCAACAGTGCCAAAGATTTGGTGCGTAGAATGTTGACTGCTGATCCGAAAAGGCGGATCTCTGCTGCTGATGTTCTTGGTAAGTAATAGCGCTGTGAATGATAGGATCTTGAAACATTGTTGCAGAACTATGAAGTTTCAGTTTCCATTTATATGATAGTGAGGCTTTTGGTTAATTGGTTTGTGCAGAGCATCCATGGCTTAGAGAAGGTGGTGAAGCATCGGACAAGCCTATTGACAGTGCTGTTCTCTCAAGGATGAAGCAGTTTAGAGCAATGAATAAGCTTAAGAAACTTGCTTTAAAGGTGACTTTCAAGACTGTGTTTTGCTTGTCCTTCTCGTTGTGCTAATGGTGAGATTGTAAACAGGTCATTGCGGAGAATATTAACACAGAAGAGATTCAAGGATTGAAGGCAATGTTTGCGAACATAGACACAGACAACAGTGGGACAATCACATATGAAGAACTGAAAGAAGGTTTAGCCAAATTGGGATCTAAACTCACAGAAACAGAAGTGAAACAGCTCATGGATGCTGTAAGTTTTGTCCTTTGCATCCACTTTTATAGAAAAGTAAATAAAAATTAAACTCATACTGTACAATTTAGGCTGATGTTGATGGGAATGGGTCAATAGACTACATTGAGTTTATTACTGCAACAATGCATAGACACAGGCTTGAAAGTGATGACAATCTTTACAAAGCTTTCCAGCATTTTGACAAAGATGGCAGCGGGTAAGTGAACTGCTTTCTTCTCAGTTATTTTTGTTGATGTATTTATAAGAAAAAGATGGTGAGTCCTCTTTGGCATTGATGCAGATATATTACAATAGACGAGCTGGAAGTGGCATTGAAGGAATATGGAATGGGAGATGATGCAACAATCAAAGAGGTTCTCTCAGATGTTGACTCTGATAACGTAAGTTAAACATCTCTCTCTTCTTCTTTTTCTTCTTTCAAGATAACTAGCCTTAGTCCATAATGTTGTTTTGCTCCTCATGCAGGATGGTAGAATCAACTATGAAGAGTTCTGCGCTATGATGAGAAGTGGAAATCCACAACAACAACAGCCACGGCTGTTTTAAGGGACATTGCTCAATGTGATTCTCAAGTCTTTTTTGTTTTTTTGTTTCCTGTAAAACCGTGGATTCTCAAGATCAAGAGAAGATATGGTTTGTATCTAATCAAGAAAAAGTCAGGAGCTGTATTGATATTTATTCAGACAAAAAAAAACTACATAAAGAGGAAGATACTCAAAACTTTGATTGCTTGTGTTTTGTACTTTTCTTCTGTTTTGTCCTTCATTTGTGTTCTGTGCCAAGGCTGTTGTGATAAGAGAGAAAGAAAAGTTTCATTCCTTTTTTTATAAGGGTATGGGTTTTACAGTGTTTATTAACCTTATTGAACCACTAAACTTGAAAAATGACGTCAAAAATTTCTTAAAAACATTAATTATAAATATTTGAAGGTTTCTTGATCTCAAAATTATTCTCATTGAGAAATTGTTACGTGTTTCAATGCTTAAGCTCCAATTGATAAACAATAATTAAGCGTAGAATTGTAAAAAAAAATTAACCGAGTTCCAAATTTTTTGAATTTATTGAATGAAATGTGTGGAATATTCTTTTATATGATCGGATAAATCTAACTTAGTAGTAGAAAATAGATTATATAGATAAAATGATTTATATATTATTTCTTTTATAATAAGAATAAAATATTAAAAAATAAATTAACTATTACAATATATGAAAATAAGTTAAATGAATTAATAAAACTACACTTCTTATTGTAATAATTTTTAATTTATTTTTAATATATTTCTATAAATATATTAATATCTTGTAGTATTACAAAACTCAATCATAGTGTGATTTTACTTACTAAATTATTTCTCATTAAATTTTTTAGCAGTATTTATTTAAGAGCTTAAAATGATATTATCATGGAGTAGTAATTAACTACAATAATCTACTAAAAAATAATTTTTCAGTTATTTTTTTTTTAATATTTGTTATATTTTTCTTAAAAAATCTTTTTTTTCTCCTACAAATTTTATTGATTGGTAAAAATATATTTAAATACTATTACAAGGTTTTATTTATTTATTGGCCATGATTAGTCATTGATCTCTTCAGTGACTCTATGCAAAACATATGCTCTCCCATGATTAGGTAATAATCTCTACTTGGAGGCGAGTCAAACGCAGCCACAATTGTTGATCATACATTATTTTTCCTCTTAGTTTCTCCATTTTTTCGTATAGTATATATTTTCACATGAAATTAGCTATTTATCAAAACTCACTTAATATATATTCTGGAATTACTAACAATTTGCTGCTTTTGATCAATTTTTTTTTGGTTTCCCTATTGTTTATACCTTATTGTCTTTCTTTCATTAGGTTCCCTCGGTCTTTTATTGCACCTCTCATGAGACATGACTCTGGAGAGATCAAATTCATTGATTCAGGTTTGTAAATGCTCACTTTACATTGGTTTTGCATTTCAAAATTGTTTTAATTTGATTATAATGTTATTAATCTTGCAGATACTCTCGATGACCTTGAAAGTTGGGTAAGGAAGTACTTTGATGGTGTTTAATGATAAACCAAAACGTATGCCTGCAATTAACCCACCAAAGCCCATATGGGATGCAAATAAATTGCATGTTATAAAAAGTGTCGAAGGCATGACTGTTCTTCTGCTGGTTTGGATGCTTCCTCCTTACCCAGAAAACAATTATTTGGAAATGCCAGAAGTCTATCTAATCGAGCTTTTAAGTCACAGTGAGTAATATGTCTATCTTTTGTCTTATCTCTTGATGTTCATTGCATCGGTTTAGCTAGCCTTACATATTAAATCATGTTGACTATTTTTTCAGAAAGTAAAGAAAGCTTGTATGGATTCTTCAAAGAGAATAATTTGGGTAGCTGATATAGAAGTTTCTCTTGAGGGTTATTTAGGCAATTACAGATCAGAAGGCCGTTTATTTAGTTTTTCATTGTATCTCACTAACTTGGGATTGGAAAAGGTAATATAATCACATGCCTTATTTTCTATATCTGTATTTTATGTTTGAAATATTTTTTCAAGACCTAATGATAACTACTGATTTGACAGAAGTATGAAATGATTAATTATGTCTATCAATATATCAAATTAAAGAGGTTCATACCTACAACCTTCAACATCCAAACTAAGATAAGATATCCATTATGACGATTGATCATCGTATATGCACTATGGATAAGTCAATGATAAAGATGTGGCACCATTGTGATGAAGATGGTGCAACTTGTGCAGTGTTTGTGCATTCTTCTGCATAAATCTGAGTGATTGGAATATAGCATCAAGAAACGACTAATGAAAGACATCTTTACAAAACTTCTAATGGATGAGTTAAGCTATATCATGTTTGAGGTGTGCCTTTTTCAATAATGCTGCATTTTTAATATATTCATATATATGATATAATCTTATAACACTTTTGTATACAAGGAAAGCAAGCTAGTGTTTTCAACTCATTGTCAACCTGCTAGAATATGTTGAAATTTAAAGGTTGTAGAGAAAACTTCTTCTTATCCAAATTATTGCCAGCATTTTGAGTTTTTCTTTTAAGAATTTTGATTTTTAAGGTATATGCATGACATGTTTATTCTCTTTGCAATATCACCCATATTTAATTTGATCTGAGATTTGCATTTTGCATTTCGATGAGAACCAATGGAAAATTACGGAGCTTGTATTGATGAGTATCAAATAGTTTATCACAATAAATCTGAGCGCATTGATACTAAAGAACAATCTGAAAACATGATGTTCCCAATGTTGTATGGAGGGTCTTATGGCGAGAAAGAGACATTGGAAAACCTGAAAGATATTTCTTCGCTGATATGAAAATCTTCATTAGTATTATATATCTCAGATAATCAAAGACATTTTTGCATGAGTCATTCTTTGCTTTGTAGTTATATATTATTGAGAAGACTAAAAAAGTTTGTTAATTTCTTTATGCATGATATTTCATTGAAGATCTTTGTTATACTGATGTGCTAGGAAATAAAGCATATGATGAGATTCAGAGATATTTAAAAGATCGTTTGAAGAGCCACATACTCCACAAGTGAGAAACAAATGTTCTTCTGATTGTGTCAAACTGCATCTTCCTAATCGCCACCAAATGAAATTTAGATTAGAATATTTCTATGAGTTGAGGGTCAATGAAATATTAGATTAGATTATGGTTCTTTGCCCCCGAATGGATTTTTGTTAACATGTTTATTTCCAAACTAATAATCCAAAAGAAAACCTTGATGAGAAGGAAAGTTGTACTGTTATGTCTTTTCAACAATATCCTAAGAAAAAGTTGTATAATCAGTTAAGTTAATCAAATACAATTGATCGACAAGTATGAGCTCATACATTGGTACAATCGATCGTTGCCAAATTATGTATTATTATTATTATTTTTTTACTTTTTTCTGTTTTTGTTTTATAATACCAGTTTTTTTCTATTTTTTTTTTCTAATATCATGTAGTTATATTTTTACCGGACTTGACTAAATATTTCCAAATAATCTGTTTTATACATTTTGAGATGAATATTTGTGACCAAAACATTTTTTATCCATTATTTGATTCTTAATAATTGATGGATACAAGCAATGGCGGACATACCTTGATTTTTGGAGGGCACTTATCCCCCAAAACATTAGAAAAGAAGATGCGCATTGAGATGAAGAAAAAAGAAGAAGCAACCAGCACGTCAGTCAATCCACGCTATGGATAGCAAAGCTAGCACCTAATGCATGCTTGCATCCGTATTTATTTCCTAATGTTTTGTTTTGTAAGGTTTATCTAATCTCGAGAATAAATGTACTTGAGTAAGATTCAAGGTTTTGTGGAGTATTACAACAATTTGATCATATATTTGGTGTGTTAATTATAATAATTGGGTTAAGAAAGATTAAGTTGTGGGGTTTATGTATAAAATTTGTGTGAATAGTTTTGGGTTGTAGTTAGGTGATGTTGGTAACAGATTATGATTGACTAACCACAATATTAGAGTTTGAAGTTATGTTTTCCACACTATTTTTTATAATTGTTTACAATTATCTTATATTTTTTTATAATTTATTTTATATTTTATAAAAAAATTATACGGTTTACAGTTAGGTGTTTAGAATTATATTGTTGTTAAAAATATTTTCATAGTCGTGACAAAAAGATTAGTATGATGCTGCTTTTTATTTTTAGAGCAGTTAAACAATGTGATTTATTTTTCTTATATGTTTAAGTGTTTAATGAAAGGGGGCACTCAATAACCGTTGAATTTCTGTTCTTATTTATTCATGTTTTGGGTTTCTAGATAAAGAGGGTGAAATTTTATTTGGAAAATTTTAAAATTTAGATTCGGTTCAGATTTTTGTAGATCTGGATATCCATTTAAATCATGTAGATTGAAAATCAAAAGAGATTTTTAAATCATCGAAATCCTAATATAAAAGTAATATACATATATGTTGGACTAACATATTGTTAGATACTTTCATGAGATTTAGTTCGACCGAGTAGTTAAATGGAAAACATTAGATATTTTGGTGTTTAAAAGTTTATTTTACTATTTCGAATATTTACTTTTGGCTATTTTAAATATTATTTGGTATTCTTGACAATTTCAGGTATTTTTCAAAATTTTTTTATATTAGATCTAAATTAATTATTATTATAGGTTACTTATTTTTGAATATTTGAAATATTTCAATTCTGATTCAGTGAATAATTTTTTTGAAAGCATTTAAATATTTTACCATCTTTATTTCGAGTTTGTTATAATATTATTTTTGTCAGGTTAATTATGCTATTGCAAAATATGAGAAACATTACATAGACGATATTACAGAGGACAATTATACATATTTTATGAGAATTCACGTACTCCCTACGCATTGGTGAACATGTCTTGTAAGAATTTCTT